AAGCGTAAAATGTCATCAAGAAACTCCAAGACCCCAAAAACGAGCTAGAATCCCTAGCTTCCAAAAATTCTGTTTCTTGATCTTCGGTAAAACTTGCGCTTTTTAGTATAGTCATGTAGCCCTCGTCAAGGAGATCGACTTTTGTTATTGACCTGTGTTAATTTGAGCACCGTAGGGCCGGAGATCGTAGAAAAAGGTGGAGAACCCAAACTTTTTCTCTCTCTTCCTCTCACACGTTATAACCCGCTGACGAATAGGGGAATAAATCATATTTTTTTCACTATTTATACTCCTAATTTGCTTGACCCACAACGCGCCACACGACCGTCTTTTTTTTCGGATCCGTTTTCGGCCAGTTTAAGTTCAAAAATATTTTTATTTTAACTTGCCTCAATTTATTTTCCAACTTTTAAAATTTTATTTAAATTTTTATTTTTGGGTCACCCGAGATCCGATCACCTTGTAAAACGCGAAAAAAAATTTAATTCTCTCCAAATTCAATGAAATTTGATGGGATAACTAAATTTTGCGAGATGAATCCAATTGTGAGATCCGTTTCATCATCCGAGATTTAGAAAAATTTATATTTTAACTCGTACCGTAGTGACAAATTACCGTTTTACCCCTTTTTAAAAAAGTTCAAATTTACTCAGATTTTACACCATTAATCCATTTATTTAAAAAAAAAAACACTTTGTCTATTTTTTCGTTTGTATGGTAACACGAAATTAACACAAAACTAACATATTTAACTAGTATTATAGACATAAAATGTTAATTATTTGTAACTATTTATTAAGCACTAACATAATTATTATATAAAAAAGATATTTTTATTTGTTATTATTATTATTATATTTATTTAAGTTAATTTTTAGTTTGTAGAAAAAATATTAACATGAATTCAATTAAATGAAGATGTAATATTAGCGTTAAATTTTTTATTTAAAATTTATGTAGGTCAACACAAATATGAACATGACATGAAAATAAATAGGTCAACTCGACACGACACAATTGATTAAATAAGTTGAGTTAGGTTTGACTAATGTTCGACACAAGCTCGTAATGAATCAACATGAACCTGACACGACACGATTCGATTGTTATCTCGAATCTTAGCCAACAAAAAAAAAATTAATCATTTTTATTTTTCATATATCCTATCAAATACAAAGGAAGAAAAATGTATCATTCCTACTTTCATTCGTTGAAAGATAGAAAATATATCTTTCTTATTTTTTATCCTTCCTACTTTCCAACATTTCTACCAAATGGACCATAAATACAGTGTGAATTATAATCAGTGTTTTAAAATCCGGGTCAGCTTGATAGATTGACCCGATTACCTGGTGAACCAGACTCGAAACCGGGCCAGTTAATAGTTTTGATCGTTCGAGCACAAAATTCGTCCAAGACTCGTTGAGCTGGACGGTTTTAATTTCAACCGTTCAATCCGGACGGTTTTAATCCAACCGGGCGGTTTGATTGAGAAGTTATAATTTTTTCACTTTTTTGGCATTTTTTGCCCTAATTGCTATCACTCCTATTGTCTCTCTCTTTCTCCCTCTGGGCTCTGCCTTCCGTCGTCTCCACCACCATGGTTCATGGGAGTCTCCAATACCATCACCAGATATGTTCATGCTTCATGGCCGTCTCCTCTCCATCGTCTCATCTCATGTCGTTGGCTTCTTGAAAGAAAATGTGGTTTAACGATTTTGCTTCATTATCTTCTCTGAGTTTACTTCCCTCTTCACACAGGTACTTCATATGCTCATCACCGTCTCTCTCTCTCTGCTATTTGTATTTTTAGGCTACTATTTTCCTATGTTGGTTAGTTTTATGAATATTGATTTTATTTCTGTGATGAAATTATATAAATTATAGCCTAGTTTTTGTGGCCCTTGTTTCTTTTTGAAAAGAGATACAAGGAAGAGAATTTCAAACATAGAAAACAAAATTAAGGAAACAGAATCTAAATTGGCAATTCATGAGCTACAGTGTTTGAATTTCTAAAGATATGTAGAAAGCTCCATTCGATGTGTATCTTCAGCAAAATACTCAGATCTGAGATGATCGTGGTAATAGACCAGTGGCCCCAGTTTCGTGGCAGCTGGGAGATTACTTCTCCAAAATATTTTTTCACTGCTCTTTTATTTATGTTTTCCTTCAATACAATTGGATGGATAGGATAATATTTGATAATTTTTGCGGTTTTGTTGGATCTAAAATACATTAAACATGATGTTTTTTATAATTATTATATTTTTAAGCATATTTAATAATATTATTAATTTTTTTATTATTATATCTCTTAGTTGACCGGTGATTCCTTGATCCGATCCCTTTGTCGTACTGATCTTCGGGCCGATTTTTAAAACTATGGTTGCAATCCTCTTAACTTTCTCTCTTACTCACTCTTTGCCTTTTCAAAACGTGAATGTAATGTGTGTGGCTAAAAGAACCACATAGTGCATTTAATAATAGGTTATAGTATAGACCCTAAAGAGAAAAAAAAGTCGAGCTTCCAATGGATCTAGAAATTCTATATCGAACCCAGAACAAACATCTTAAGTTCCATTAATGATAAAGTAGTCATCTAAAGATTTATTATTGATCTCCAGAGCATTATCTCAAAATTATATTTTGAGCTTCTCGTTATTATTTGTTTAATAATCTTTTCACGTTTAAGATTACAGATGCTTATTAATTAATTAAATTACTAACAATTTTATTTAATTGACTTTTTTTTTATCTTTGAGATCTTACCACTCAACTTATTTGTCATGTCGGATAATTAATTCCACCTTCAAGGTTTAACATAGATAAAACTTATGAGTTCCATCAAGAAGACATCGTCAACCCATTTAAATAACGGAATGTGATTTCTTTTAATAATTAATTTTTACTATATAAATAATGTCATATTCCAATTCATCGTGTTTGTTGACTCAAAATATGAATTTCACTCTTTAATGAATTAAAGTAACAATCATTATATGCACGTGTCAATTAAATATTTTAGGATTAAAAGTTTGGCAATCATAATAACTATGAGATAATTTATTTTTTTATTTACTCAGTAAAAAAAAAAAACCTCAATGATGGTCTTGTCTAATACACAAAAGGGTGGTTTGGTTGTTCTATTATAAGGTGTATTAAAGAGTCATATTGGATAAAAACGATTTAATACGAGTTTATACTATTTTTGAATGCAAAAAATCACTTTGTATTATACGTGAGATTAACTAGATAATTATCACATATAGATAATTCTAATACAATTTATCCGTACTATTGATCTATTTTAATACTACCAAGAGAGGTGGTATTCTAATACAATCTAGGTGTATTATATCGTTATTTTATAATTTTACCCTCAAACTAACAAAAATTTATACGATAATTCCTTAATAAAAATTTCATAGACTTCTTGACTTCATAATAAACTGGCCCTTTAAATTTTTCACAATGACTTGATGTCTCCCTCGTATGGACAATCTGTAACAGATGCACTTAATTTGTCATTCGTATGGATATTGATAAACAACGATATTAATAATAAACAAATAGATATATTCAAAATACACTTTTACACAATTAAAGTATGTTTGTTTAATTTCAATATTATTTAAAAATATTCATAATAAATAATATTTACATAGCTTTTGGCTCTATTGATATAGTCCTACAAAATATTGGATTATTATAAGGGATCAAATTAGAGATGATTAATGATATTTTATTCCATTCATTAATCCTATTGAATAAATTACCTAACCAAATATTATATTCAACTTGATATTTATTATCCATCTTTTATCTGTACTTAACAAACACTTGAGTAGAATTTGTACTATTTTTATCCTCTATTTAATCTTAGATGTTATCTTTCTATCTAGGACTGTCCTGTATTCTTTAACATAACATCCAGATGACCTCAAAGTATACTAATGCAATAATTCGAGACATCAAACAGTCTCTTATAACCAATATAGATTATGTCAGAAGATTGCATTATAATCATTTTGATTGCGAGCCCAATTTTATTTAAGATTCTGAACCNAAAAAAAACAAAAGCAACACAGGACAGCAAAACCGAAGCAGCAACAGAATCAACAAAAAAAAATAGAAGCAGAATGAGCTAAAAAAAAAACAGAAGCACAACGATCATGATAGGAGCAGAATCAATTGTAAACAATTTCATATGTAATTATATACTGAATAAAAAAAAGCAGAACAGAGACACATTTCACATGTACTAAAATAATTAAACATGGTATAAGCATAGACCACTTTTTGGTATCATTTGTATATATATAAGAAAAGTGAAAAGTATAACCAAGACATATCAGAGATACTTCTTTGTAGAAGAATCTATTATTTACCCCCATTCCTGATACTCCTGCTTCCTTTTTTTATCATAATTGTCATGCAGTCGCCTGACTCTCACATCCCACAAATATTCTAAATGAATTTAGCAACACAAGAAAAAAAAAGGAATGTGTTTTGTTCGAAACATTGTTTATTAGAAAAAAAAAAAAATAGACCAGTAATAGTCTAAAAAAAAAGTCATTAGTGATTAAAAAATAAAAGAGACTACTAACCTGTAATCAAAAAAAAAAAAAAAGTGAAGCAGAATCGCCTTTTATAATAAAGCGTTCACTTTTTCGCTTTTTTCGCTTGTTCGCTTTTTCTCGCTTTTTTCTCGCTTCGCTCACGTTCGTTTCGCCTGGAGTCCTTCAGGCGAGATAAGCTCGCCTCGCCTCGCTTCTCGCCTAGGCGAGCGCCTAGGCGAGCTTTTCAAAACACTGCAGCAAGCCTTCAAAACACTGTCTGAATGTGATTCGTGATTTTGGGATGATATGTTAGGTCAAAGATTATTTTCAAATTTCAGGTTACTCCCTCAACTTCCATTCTTTGGTCCCGACATTTAAGCAGAACAACCATGACTGACCTTTAAATGTCTAAAGCTCAAGCATGCTTAAGCATATGCCAGAATGCTTGTGATTGCTGCTATACATTGTTCTTTCAGCATGATTGATTTAACTCTTACTTCATCTTATTATTTTGACATTTATGAAAAGTATAAATTAAGGGGTCTCATACAGTGTTTTGCAATGTGGAAATCAACTGAAAATGCTTCATCTAATGTTTGCAGGTTGATGTTGGAGGGCATGAACTAAAACCAGTCACTCTAGGCATATCTCGTGATTTACGGGTTGGCCAGAGCTGCTTTGCCATTGGAAATCCATACGGATATGAGGATACTTTAACAACAGGGGTAAGATTTTTGGAAAATGTGCTGGTTAAATACCTTATGAGGGCAAAGCCCTTAATGTATTTGCAACTCCTTGTGGCCATTACTGAACTTTTTAGTTGTATTGATGAGCTTATTTTACCTTAGTTTACTTCTTTCTGATCAATACGTCTTGCTTGCAACAATGTTTCGGGGCATTCTGTGTAGTTTATCTTTAGCAACAATCTTTTTCTAAAGTGGGTACCTGTTAATGCATCCTCCTTTTGAAGAAACACAGATGGCTACTTCCTTTAAGGCAAGGAAAATTTAATTGGCTCAGACATCTCATGCCATGAGGACTTAAGGAGGGGGGTTTGTGTAGAAAAGGAGAGGAAAGCATAGGGAGAAAGTTGATGTAGCCCACATCTTCATAAAGGGTTGAGAGAGATGATCCCTTGCTACTAATTAGAGGGGTATTGATGGCCAAGGCCACATATCTGGGCAAGGCATATGCACAGGATAGCAAATAAATTGACTATACGTATCTGATGCTATATCTCCTTTGGGTGGGACCCACTCGTTAGAGATTTGATGTCCAAGGAAGCAAAACCACCAATACTGGCTTTGATATGCTCATATACATGCTTCAGTGTGATGGTAGTGGTGTGATCCCATGGTATCACCCTTTTCTGATTTTGAAGTCACAAATGGCTACCTGCACATACCAAAACAGAAGGCTGCCCACATGGAGCCTTCATGGCAAACACAGGGATCTAATGCCTATACAAAGTAGATTAACTAAGGTATAATGATGAACTTACTTGCTGCAGGTAGTGAGTGGGTTAGGGAGGGAAATACCGTCACCAAACGGCGGAGCCATCCGTGGTGCAATTCAAACAGATGCTGCAATTAATGCAGGTTCGTAAGAGAAGTCGTAAAAATTTCTTCCTGCCTTTGGGTAGACGTATTGCATATATTGCATTTTCCACCGATCATTGGCTTTTTGTCTGAGTAGTACTTTTCTAATTTCTAACCATTCAGACATTGCTTTTTGTCATTTATGTGCAGGAAATTCAGGTGGACCCTTGATCGATTCATATGGCCGTGTTATTGGAGTTAATACAGCCACTTTCACTCGCAAAGGTAAAGAAATGTTTCTCTCTTTTTGCATACGCAAGATTAGTTTTTCTACAAAAATTGCTTCATATGTTTCTGCAAGAACTACATCTTGACAAAAAAAATATTTTCAGGGAGATTAGCTTGCAATGGAACAGCATAATAATTATTTACATCATGTGTCCAACTTTCTGTTGTTTCATTTGAGAAATAATTTTTTTTAATTCATCCTAAATTCTTTCCAAGATCATTTGTTTGGCAACATGTCTCGTCTCAGAGATGGTTTCATCACCGTCATGTCTGAACATTTCAAATATGACTAGCTCATACATTCTAACTGCCTTCCAACACAAGACCTCTATCTTTGGGGATTTCTAGTTTTAACCATTCGGAAGCTACAATTTTAGATGAAGAATTTATATTAGTTCAACTATTAATTATAATGCAGGGACAGGAGTATCCTCCGGTGTTAACTTTGCAATACCAATCGACACTGTTGTCCACACTATACCGTATCTCATTGTATATGGAACGCTTTATACTGACAGGTATTAACTGTTTCTGTTTGTTAAATCAGATTAATGCTCTAGTTGGTGTTGGTAGTGTTCTCAGGCTGTTGCCTTACAGGTTTTGAGCCCTTAAGCAAAACATTGGAATCAAGAGGTAGTTTTGTCTGATCATGTGCTGCACTTAGACACAAGGCCTCCACAAGCTGTAAGACTTGTCAAGTATGTTGTAATTAAGATTAAATTCCAAAGATGAATCTAAAGGAGTACTATGGAACAATTTACTCTTTAAGCTTTGTAAACTCAATCGTCTCCTGATTTATAAATGGGGCTCTGTTTTATTTTATAGTAATACCGAACGTTGGTGGTTTTATGATGTTGTTATACTTTCATCGTACTTTCAAACTTATTTTTGAATTGACCGAGGTTTCTATAAAAAAATGAGTCTAACTCATTCCTTTCAACATGAATGTGTTTTAATGATTTGAAGTTTTTTTTTTTCATTGAAAGCATGCTTTGCAAACACTTTTTTATAAGTGAATTGAGAACTGAATTTGGAATCATTGCAAGGGCTCAACGTGACTTTACCATTGCTGATACACTAGCATATTGTACCATAAATGAGGTTTTATCTTCTTGTTACTGTAGAAATTTTGTTTCTATTAGTTCTTTCTTTTATTTAATGGCGTTCATTAATCCCACAACACTAATTCGTTTTTCCTTTCATGTTGCTAGTACATGAGCAATGTCCTCTTTCAAGCAATTGTTTGGAGGGTGCACCCACATCTTAAAGCAATGTTTTGGCAAGGTCACAGCCTCACAGAACATGTCAAATTATGTGTACTTTTCGAACGCCTTGTACAGTAATAGGATCCATTGCTAATTAAACCATAACAATGAATATAGTTGGAAAAAAAATGTTTTAGTAAAATGAGTCTAAATAACATTACTGGGTCATGCTAAGTTTGACACTGCAAAACTATAGACACTATAAATCCTCTTTCAGAAGAAATAACATTAACCATAAATATAATAAACTCATTTTAAGATAATCTATATAATAAAATATAACACAATTCAAATCTTAAAAAATAAATAAAACGACTTTTGTTATTTGCAGTTGAGATTTCTTTAAATTTTACTTTATAGTTAATATAACGGCTAATATTAATACTCTAAATTTAATAGGAAAAAAAAATTTCTAAATATGTGTTTAGAGTGACTTTTTAAAAATGTTTCTACAAATTATTTATTATAAATATTTTTAAAACAAAAAAAAGTACTGTTTGGAACCACCCCAACCCCATGTCTACCCCCACCAACCCCATCGCCCCACCACCATCACCATTACCACCACCACCATCACCACTATAACTACCCACCACCACCACCACCACCACTGCCACTTCCACCACCCTACCACCACCTCCATCGCCCCACCACCACCACCACCACCACCACCATCTCCACCGCCCCACTATGACCATACCTACCACAACCACCATCACCCCTACCACCACCACCACCCCCCGTCACACCACTTCCCCCACGATCATCACAACTACCACCACCACTACCATCGTTGCCAAACCACAGTTGCTGTAGCCACCCCCACCATTGCCACTGCCCCACCACCTCCAACCCCAAATGCCTGCCGCCACCACCATCACCATTGTCACCCATCACGATTGCTACCACCGTCGTCCACCGCCACTACCACTCATCATCATCGTTATCTTATTCTTATATTTATTATCATTATCATCATTATCCTACTACCATCGCCACCCACCGTTAGCATCCACTACCACCCGTTGTTGCCCACCATCGCCACTAGCCACTACCACCCATCCCTACCACATCTACCACCACCACCTGTCATCACTCACCACCGTAATCACCCATTATCACCTACCTTCACCATACTTACTACCACCATTACCACCATCATTCGCCACCACTCATCACACTGTCCCCTAAAAGCATGCATCGTCGCCCATCATCACCACCTATTACCACCACTGTCAACCACCATCACCATCAACCACCACCACCCACACCCACCACCACCACCATCACCCACGACAGTCATTACCACCGTCGTCACCCAAAACCCATCACCACCATTGTTACCTAAAACCCACCACCACCATCACCTTTGCCACACATGACTGTTATTACCACGACGGTCGTTGCCACTCACCACAATCATCACTGTCTCCCCACCATCACCAATATCGTCCACCACCATTACCACCGCTCATCCGCACTATAATTGGTTCTTAAATTCTTTTCTATCTCCTTTATTTTTATGATTTGATTTTGAGTGTGAATACAAATATGTTTGTTGTTGAACATTTTTTTTATTACTCTGTGCTTTCAGGAACGACGAATAACTAGTACATCTATATGATAAAGTACAAAGATTGAAGATATAAAAGATGACTTTTATTTTTTGCAGTTGCGATCATTTTAAATTTTATTTTAAAGTTAATTCGACAACTAATATTAACTTCCTAAATTTAATAGGAAAAATAGGTTTCCTAAGGGTGTGTTTGAGGTGATTTTTTAAAAATATTTTTAAGACTTATGACTTTCCATAAGTACTTAAAAAAAATAGTATTTGGAATAACTTATTTTAATTACTTCTAAATAGGTCTAAAGTAGTTTTATCATTTAATTAAGTAAAAAAAAAATAATTTCAACTTTTTTAAAATCATTTATTTACAAAAACTTCACCACTATAAACGCCGTCGTTTTCCTATCACCACTATCGTCCTCATCACCGCTGCTGCCACCTCATCACCACCGTCATTGCCTTACCACCACCCCCACCACCGATTGCTACCACTGCCACCCCCACTACCAGCCATCACCATCACCATAACCATAACCATCACCATCATCATCTCATTCTTATATTTATTACCATTATCATCATCATTCCACCACTACCATCGTTCACTATTACTAACCACCATTGTTGCCCACCACCACCCATCGTCTTCCATCACTGTCGCTACCCACTGTCACCCACCCTCACCACACTTACCACCGCCCACTACCGTCGTTGCCCACAAACACCTATTGTCGTCAACCACCACCATCATCACCATCCACCACCACAACCCACTATCGTTGTCACGTCATCGCCACTGCTGCCAACCACCATCGCCGTCACCCACCATTGCTGCACTCATGACTTCCACTATCACCATAGTCATCCAAAACCCATTACCACGATCATCGTTGCCACTCATAGCTGCCACCACCACCACCATTTCCACCGCTCACCCCATCATAACTGGTACTTAAATTCTTTTCTCCATCCTCTATGTTTATGATTTGATTTTGGATGTGAATACAAATATGTTTATAATTGATAATTTTTTTAGTATTCCGTATTTTTAGACATGGGCAATAACTAATCCTTACAAATGATAGTAGAATAAATTCAGAATAATTGAGAATAATGTTCTGATTACAGAAGAAAAAAGTTCATCACATATAGCTGATTTCTCCTAAACTCTAAATCTTCATTAAAGTTCTTATATTGGATGAGTATTACAGCAAAGCAACCGGGTATTTATACCAACAATCCTTAATATATATTAAGCCATCAGAAACAAGGACTTAGAAGTTATCAATGTGTAGTTCCGTGAATATCATGAATTCTGGTTATACGATTAGAATGTTTGATTAAATATGATGATTGATGATGTACAAAAGAGTCTTATGCAAGATCAACAGTCAAGTGTGTGATAAAATATAATTAATGGACAATTAATAAAACAATCAATGACAATAATATAAATATAGAGTCAACACGCAGATATATAGTAGTTCGGTCAATGGTGGCGGGGGACCTTTTATTGATTAAGTAAGGTAAACGAGAGAGAGAACAATTGTTAACTCTGGGAGAGATATAATAGCTAGGAGAGACAAAAACTATGTGTGGAGGTGTGTAGAGAGGTGTCATCTCACATAGAGAGAGCTTACAATTTATAAGTACAGAACTTTAGATGAGGCGGTGATGTGAGGGTAAATGTATTAGATATTCGGGGTGCTACAAAAGGTATGCACAATTAAAGGTTGTCTTGATTTTTGAGAGTGAGTATCTTGATAATTGCTCTTCCCATTCTCTAATCCTTCTGAATTTCTTGAACTCTGGACTGGGACGAATCCATGAATTGAGTTTGATCCGCCTTGTAGTTGATTTGGGCCTAACTCATTAATTAAGTCTAACCCAGTTAAATCTAGACTCGTCAATGATAACTAAAATTATTCAAAGAGCAATGTTTATTGACCTAACTTATTGATATAATCATTCACAGTCATTAGATTAGCAATGACCCCTATTATTTATTAGGACTTTTTGCTAATCCAATGTTTGTGATGAATTAAGTTAGCATAAAGTAAATCCAATTGAAACCATTAACGTAGTGTTACAAGAGAAGCACAACAAATAATGAAAACTTCACAATAACTGTGTGTGTGTGAGAGAGAGAGAGAGAGAGAGAGAGAGTAATTGCAAAACCAGTAGTCATGATAATGAAATTGATCATTATAGACTTGGCAAAAAACATTTAATTATTTTGGTATTTGGTGTAATATCTATCCATGTACACAAAAAAAAGAAGAGAATAATCCCAAAAAAAAAGTTCCTAATCTTCTGCTAGTGCTTGCACCATCATCATTGCTATTTCCATGACTCGATCCTTCTTCTTCTTCGGTTCAGACTCTAACAAGAATAAACCACCGTTGTGAACTGAGTTGGAATGACCAAATCTGCACAACCATTCCCGCAACCAGGCCATTACTCCTCCTAAAATCATTCCAGTATTTGGTCAAAACGTACATTGGATTATTTTCACCACCAGGGCCAGGCTTCTTCGTGCCCCACTTCCTCAACTTTATCTGGCTTTTTTCCGTGGATGGTCCCATTATCCATGCTGATATTTCACCATAGTTCTTTCCATGAATATTGCGCAAGTCCACTTCTCTCTTCTCATCGTCATCTAGTTCAAAACCCTGTTCGACTTGACCCATAGGTATCGATAGTCGACCATGTTGGTCACTAACGTCTGTATGGGACAAGTGTTTTTGTATCACCAACACAGGCTCAGAACCCCCCACGCCTCTAATTAAATTCTTAAACCTTGTGGGTAGGTCAGGTTTTGGGTTTGGACCCGTTTGTGGCATGTTCTTCCTCTGCTTCTTTGGCTTTACAACTTTTGTTTCAGAACTTTCACTTTCAAAAAACTTCCTCTTTGAAGCTCTCTTCTTAGACTTTTTGGTGCTATCCACGGAAGGAGGGTTCATGGGCAACTCTACTCTCATTGTCCTGTGTACATTGTGATACCAAACCTCCTCTTCCTCAAGAGAATTCTTGATTTGTTTACCTTTCTCTATAGAATTCTCTGATTTCATCAACACAAACTTTTCCTCGCATAACTCTTGAGAATTAATGGTGGGTTTCTCCACAGAAGCCTCAGTATTCATCAACCCTTGTGCATTGTTCATGTAAAGATTGCCCAATGTGAGATTGAGCGTCACATCATCCTTGAGAGTTTCTTCGTCCATCCGCCCTTTTTCTCTATCATCTCCCTTGGTCTCAACCTCTAACATACTGATGAAATCCCTAGTAATAGGGATTTCCTTCGTCTTCACACCCTCCAGAAGTTCAAAGACAAAATATCTCATGATCTTCGCTGCAACAACGGAAATCAGATATAGTTTCTTGAGAAAAGTGTAGAGGGGTTTAGGGTTTTCTTAGGAAAATTGAGAGGGGATTAGGGTTTTCTTAGGAAAAGTGGGAGAGGTTTAGGGTTTGTTTTGGAGAGTAGTAATGTGAAACTATGGAGGAGAGTGATGAAACCTGGAGAGGACCTGTTACTTATACATAAGCTCAAGTCCTAGTGGCCAAAGAACTCTCTATTTGCGTATAACTACTTTTCCTAAACAAAGTAAGAGAGAGGAATATGATACATTATATGTAATTTCAAACCTTTTGGAACTGGGAACTCTGTTTGATGTTTTTGGTTTCCTAAACAAGCAGAACAATCCTTGTGAAACTTGATGCTCAAGTTTTTAATTAGTGGTTAAGGTCCTATAGCATTGCTCAATAAATAAACTCACTTGTTTAGTTGAGGTAGAAGTGTGCATTAACGGCCAAGATTTAATTGGGATGTGAATCTAATGGCAATGATGAGACAGGCTTAGTGAGATATGCTTGAATTGCAAAATGAGTTTGAGATTGAGATCCCGCATCCAGTAAGATAAATTCTTATATTTTATCTATATTTAAATTTGTTAAAAATTAAAATACAATCTAATAGTCATTTATGATCATCATACATTTAAATAGGGTAAGATATTTGAATAACGGAGGCAGTAGAGCTGATTAAAAGACCAAAATGCCCATGGCCGGAGAACAATTACAAATATCCAGATTAAAGTAATTTTATCACTCTCTACCTATTATCTTTTTCAAAAGGCCACCATAACCTGCCCGTTAGGGGTATTCATTTTGCTATATGAAGATCCATTCTGTCTTTGTCTTTGGCTCTGGCTTTGTCTTTGAAGCCTGAAATCTGGTTCAACTATAAGCACAGGTGACCGCTTGTCTATAAGAGTAAATTTGACCGCTTGTAATATAAAAATAAGGGTTAAAAAATAAACCTTTGAACAAAGTCTCGGTCTCACTTCACTCCCTATATTTTTATGGTTTGTACTCAATACCCTCCAACTTATGAACAAATTGTAAATGTTAGTAGAGGTAACAATTTATACAAAAAAACTAAACACTACAAGACATTAGTCTTTTAGCCGCATAAATTATTGCAGCAATAATTATTAGCCGCTATAACTATTGTAGCAAGTTAACGTAATTTTACCTCTAAAATATACTATATCACCATTAAAAGTCCGATTAAAACCTGACTTTTAGTAACAATAATTAATTGTAGCTAAAAATATACATTTTACGCACAATTAAAATCACCACTAAAATTTGGAACATGTTTTTTTGACAAATTATTGTCGTTAATTAATACATTAAAATGAACAAAGAAACATATCGCATATTTGAAAGAATTTATTTTTCAATATTTTCAAATTTCACATAACTGTTATAGTTTAATGAATCAATATATATATCTAATAAAAAAAACAACATAACAAACTCTCACTTTCAAAGATATAATTCTCAAATCAAGTGACGTGATAATAATATTATGATATTAGTATCGTTAAATTGTACGTATATAACGCGTCATTATCAAAGAATAGAAATGAATAAAAAAAGTTATGAACATGTGTTTCAAATTGTGTCGTAGCAACTAGACAATAATACTCACTCAAAAGAGAGTAATTGCATAACAATCAAGTCCCAACTACATATTCGTTTTTTGGCAAGTTATTAAACCTTTCGTCTTTAGTTTTCAAATGCGAGCCTTTCAAAGCTGTTTTTTAGTGCTTCCACTAGTTTGTACCTAACATAAATTATTCAACATTAATAGAAATTCATTGAAGAAAATCAAGAGAAGACATATTGGAGATGATTCAAATATATATCAAGGCTACATACCAGCCAATAAAAATTCTAATCTACTAGGCTGTTCCAGTGACAGAGGCAAAGAGCCCTATGAGATTGTGAGCATATCATTCTGCTTGAGTAAGTAAAATGTACAAATGCAAATAAGCATACAAGTTTGCTTGATCACAGACAAATGCAAATAGACATCAAAGATTGACTCTATCAGTTCTTGAATTCCATTTTCAATTTTTCGTAAATCAAACAGAAAACAAAAACAATACCAAGAATTGATCATTACCGTAAATAAAGCATTCAACCCATAAAAGTAAGGTTACAAACCCATGAAATAGAACTTTTCCAATTTAAGAGATCTTATCCTATTACAATGAAGAGAGGTAAGAATTTACCCCGACTCTTTCATTTGCTGAAAAAATGTGGTGAGCTGAGTTTGAAGTACGGTATGCACCTGTGTTTGTATCTCAACATGCATATTGGACTCTAAGGACTCTAGTCGCGAAGCCAAATCACTGTTTTCCCTCTCCAATGACTCCCAATGCAACCTATTTGTTTCAGCTTGCCTCTTCAATTCCTCATTCTCTTTCTCTAGTTGTGCACGAATGCACTGTCCAGTTGTAGATGTTGTGGGCTTTGGAGCAGTCCCACGACCACATATATATCCTGATTTTTCGGACCGAGCACTGCTTCAAACCTCTGATCCTCAGTCATGGGGGTAGCTCCTTCCTCCATTGATTGAGCCTCTAGCCTCTTAAGGTTGCTCTACATTTGGAAAGATTACAATCTATCAATTTAGCATTATGTAAGAAGATATTTCAAGGAAATGAAGAAGGATATGATAACTTACATAGAATTCTCCCGATCTTCTGCCAGCCCAAGCATTCATCTTCATACCAAATTTGGTTGTTAACCACATTTCTGTACTGTTAGGCTCCTCTCCAGTGTCAGGATCACGCTATCATGCATTAAACATTAATAGAAAAAATTTACATAAATATGCATGTATACATGTATATAATTAATCACATAAGTGAAATATACATGTACAAAACAACTCACACTATTGTAACTAATTCGAGCAAAACTCTTCATCCCTGCAATATGACCCATGTCCTGTTTTGCTCGGTTCTTCTTGTTTCTTTCGCACATTTTCCGCATTCAAGAATTAAAAGCAAGTTTCAAGCTATAGTGGTGACCACTATTGAACAGTTCGAAACATGCAGGCATACTTAAAAGACTCCTAGACTGTTTAACCACTAAAACATGGAAGTGAAAGACCTTGTTGCTTGCTAACTTGGCAGATAACAAAACCCAACACAGTCCAATCTAAGAAATAACAGTAGCCATAATTAATTAATACACAAGCAGTCCAACACAGTCCAAATCGACAAGCATCTTCATTCAGCTACATTATACAACACTTAGTTATATATAGACCAGTCCTAATGGCTCACAATAACATAATTTAAAGACCAGGTGTTAATAATTCATTATAATCAGTGTTGAACAATGTTAAAGTCCTCATACCCAAAAGTTAGAAGTCCTAAACAACAACAAAGTTTTAGTGTGCATACCTTGAAGTCCACATATCCAAAATAACCAATAAGAGTAGTTCAGCCATTCGGGCTCTCATCTGGCAGACAATTTTCCCGATCTTCTGCCAGCCCAAGCATTCCTCTTCATACTAAACTTGGTTGTTAACCACATTTCCGTACTGTTAGGCTCCTCTCCAGCGTCAGGATCACGCTATCATGCATTAAACATTAATAGAAAAAATTTACATAAATATGCATGTATACATGTATATAATTAATCACGTAAGTGAAATATACATGTACAAAACAACTCACGCTATTGTAACTAATTCGAGCAAAACTCTTCGTCCCTGCAATATGACCCATGTCCTGTTTTGCTCGGTTCTTCTTGTTTCTTTCGCTCATTTTCTGCATTCAAGAATTAAAAGCAAATTTCAAGCTATAGTGGTGACCACTATTGAACAGTTTGAAACATGCAGGCATACTTAAAAGACTCCTAGACTGTTTAACCACTAAAACATGGAAGTGAAAGACCTTGTTGCTTGCTGACTTGGCAGATAACAAAACCCAACACAGTCCAATATAAGAAATAATAGTAGCCATAATTAATTAATACACAAGCAGTCCAACACAGTCCAAATCGACAAGCATCTTCATTCAGCTACATTATACAACACTTAGTTATATATAGACCAGTCCTAACAGCTCACAATAACATAATTTAAAGAGCAGGTGTTAATAATTCATTATAATCAGTGTCGAACAATGTTAAAGTCCTCATACCCAAAAGTTAGAAGTCCTAAACAACAACAAAATTTCAATGTGCATACCTTGAAGTCCACATATCCAAAATAACCAATAAGAGTAGCTCAGCCATTCGGGCTCGCATCTGGCAGACAATTTTGAAGTCTAATCTCATTAGTGGCATATTTGCAATAATAATTCTTATGCAGTCTGTGTAGATGGTCCCTATATTGCCGATTTAGCTGCTGGTATATAGCTTCCTCAATGCAAGGGTCTTCTTTGAGAGTGAACTTTTGCTGCACAATATTACATAAGAAAGTAAACAAATGATGTAAGATCTAATGCCAATGAAAACCCACAAGATTACATGGTGTCTTCTTCATCTAAATTACTTACCTTCGAAGCATACCACTTCTTCTTCTTATCATCAATTGGGATGGCCTTCCATTTGGGAAATTGAAGTGGGGCCATCTGCTTGACAATAATGCCCAACTCTGTGATTAATTGTTGGGCATTGTTGCTGACAGCTCGCATCAGTTTTGGAGGAATATACACCTCCAGCTTCTTCCCTGCACGTCTCTTCTTTACAAATGTTATACCTCTAGTTTTCCCCCCATCTTCTCTTCCCAAATTTGCAGGACCCTGTTCAAAGCAACACAAAACCATCATTTCATTCGTGATAAGAAAAGCATTTTGAGGCTTCTTTCACTAAAACTCACCATTTTGAGGTTTTTTATTTTGCAGCAAGTCCTATATTCTACTCTTAACAAAACTCGAAGTGAACTGATTTTTTTTTTTTGCAGCAAGTCATCATAACTAAGCTTCATCACTAGATAGTGCCTTTTTAACAAAACCACAGCAAGGCAACCACTCCCAATGTCCCAAGGCTCGTAGGGTACTAGACTACGTAACAGCTATACGCAACAGATGAAAATACTCAGCCTGTAAAATATATGAGAAGCCATGAGAGCCAAACATGCAAAAAATATCAAAAAGTAAAATTCATTTAAAAGTAATAAGGCATAAAAAAGTATGATTCATCATACATGGAATTCATTTAAGTGCACTCTGTTTCGGAAAGTAATTGAAATTCATCCATTGAAAATCACGCAGAAGACTATAAATTAAGTTTCAACATATAAAATCTAATATCCCATTAACAAAGTAGCAATACATTAAGTTCAGGGTCTAAAAAGGAGAAACATACCAAAGGTAGAGTTATATGTCTCAATCTGTCTAGGCTCAAAAGCTCTCGAATCTAATGTAGACTGCTCTATCTACGAGGTTTGCTCTATGCAACCTTCTTCTCGGCCACCTCTCCCTCGGATCCTACTAGTCATGTCTAGAGTCTATCTTGCAATCCTTTGAATTACATTGATTATGCAAGAAAAATGTTCTTAAAAAAAAGGATAAGCTTAACACAAAATAAATGAAACTAGAATCATCTAAATTTATCATTATTTATGATGAACACATGATGTTTTTTTTTCCCAGGGAGTAAATTGTATGCATCAAACAAGAGATAAGATGTCACCTTAAAGGTGTTTTTTAGAATTTCATTTCATGCTTTCATTAAGATATTAATTCTCACAAAACAAACTACATCAAACTATTAGTCTCACTATCATCATCAATATTCATTTCATCTTCCTTGGTATTAGAATCAATAAAAGGAGAATCATAGCACAAGGAGCTCACGTGTTCCCCCTCCACATGTACCTGCGCAAGAGAACGAAGATGGAGAAATCCAATATGGTGACCATGAAAGCCAGCACCACCACCCAATTGAGGATGTCCCCAATCAATGGGACGAGAGGATCAAAGAGGTGTAAAACCAACTTGGTGATGCCCTCAACGCCATCAGGGTACAGACGCTCGAGATAGTAGACTACCTGGTAAGACGTACTGACACACCTTTTGTTGCTGATATAGTCAATTATCCTTTATCCTCGAAGTTCAAGATACTTGCCATCGGGAACTTCTACGGTACCAAAGACCCCCTCAACCACTTGGACACTTACAAATCTCTCATGTAACTCCATAATGTGCCTAAGGAGATTATGTGTAGAGCCTTCCCTACCACCCTCAAAGGAACTGCACGTCAATGGTTTGCAAAGGTTAAGCCCTCTTCAATTCACTCCTTCACTGAGTTGAGTAGATCCTTCGTCTCCAACTTTATTGGGGGACGTCGACATCAGAAACCAGTGACCCACCTACTCACCATCAAGCAGAACAGGGATGAAAGCCTTAGAGACTATCTCGCCCGCTTCAATGAGGAGGCTTTCCAGATTCAGGAACCAGATGATAAGGTAGCCCTGACCACCTTTATCGCCGGTCTTCGCACCTCCAATTTCATGTTCTCTGTCCTCAAGAAGCCGCCCTCCAACATGCCCGAGCTACTGTCTAGGGCACAAAAATATATAAACACTGAGGACACCACCGAGGCCCGTCGAGGTGAATCCTCTCATGGAGGAGAGAAGAGGAAATACACCAACGAAGAAAAATGGGAGACAGAGAACAAGAGAAAGAGAACCAAAAGAGTTTATATCAAAGACCGTCTTGGTCCGTACCCCTCGAGAGAACGACAACCTTTCATGCCACTCAACACCTCGATGGAGCACATCCTATTCCAGATATAGGATGACGCTATGCTCCACTGGCCCAGAAAAATAAAGTCCACCCCAAACTACAGAAATCCCAGTAGGTACTGTCACTTCCATCGCGACCATGGCCACGACACTGATGACTGCTATGAGCTCAAGAGGCAGATCGAGGAGTTTATACAGTGTGGCCAGTTGAGGCAGTACGTTGCTGGCAGAGGACAAGCCCCGCCACTTAGCCAGGAACAGGATGACAGAGAACGCCAGCAATACCTTGGAGAAATTCAGATAATCTCGTGAGGGCTAGGAGGAGGAGCCAACTCCAACTCCACCAGAAAAGCCTCGACCCACCTATGGGAAATCGAACACCTGAAGATTTTATCTATCCTTTGTTGTTAGTTAATTTATTTTGTTATTTATTATTTTATGAAATAAAATTCTACGAATATTATTATGCCTGAATTGTCTTGCTTTCCTAAAATTTACAAACAGCTTATAAAAATTAGAACATGACTTAACAACAAGGTGTAGATAGACAACAATTGTCATACTCCCGACGATCAGTCACTACTCCTCGAGCCACAACCACTATCATCAAGACTCTCTTTTGTCATCGTCTACCTCTGGTGCCTCATATGGGACACAACCAAAATTAAGTGACTGCCTAACCGCTTCCTTGTGTTACCCGAGGCGTCGCCCGAGTGTCCCAAGACCTTGCCCAGGCCAGCTCCCAGGTTGGCTGTCGCCCACTTTTTGCTTGCCACCCAAGAAGGACCTCTCTGCTCCTGGAACTAGTGCCTAGCACCCCTCGGCATCTGCGCCTAGAGCCCCTCGGCGTTCACGCCCAACGGTGCCCAGCATCTTTCGGCGTCTGTGCCTAGTGGCACCCAAAGCCCCTCAGCGTCCACACCAACCTCTGGCACCCAACTGCACCCGACACCTAGCATTTGGCGTCTAGCCTTAGGCACCCATAGCCCCGGGCACCCAGCACCTAAGCGCCCACAGCCCAAGGCACCCAACCTTAGGCGCCCAACACCAGACGCCCAGCTCCTCAGCGCCATCCTTATCTCCTCCATCTCTATGGAGTGAGCTTCTGCCCTAATAGCTCTCTCAAGTGCTACTTGAAGGTCAACCTCAAATTGAGTAACCTTCTCATGCGCTAGCCTCAACTTCTAAGCAACATCCTCTCGTGCCTGTCGCTCGAGCCCTAAAAGCTTCACAACATCCTCTCGTGTCTGCCATGGAAGCTTCACGACATTCTCATGTGCCTCCCGTTCAAGCACCAACTACTCTTCAACAACCTATATCTCTATTTTTGCATTCTGTCGCGATTCGCCAAAAAGCTCGGCCTTATCTTACATCTGCTCTCAAGCAGCCTATCTATCCAGCTTTGCACTATCTCGAGAGTTGCCAAGAAGCTCGGCCTATGTCTACCTTTGCTCCCAAGCAACCTATATCTCCATTTTTGCACTCTCTCGCGAGTTGCCTAAAAGCTCGGCCTAAGTCTACCTTTGCTCCTGAGCAACCTATATCTCCAGCTTTGTACTTTCTCACGAGTTGCCAAGAAGCTCAACCTCAATCTACTTCTACTATGGTAGCCATTTTTCGAGACTATATGTAGCTCAGTCTTGGCTCTTGCAGCCCTTTCACAAGACGTCCACAACTATGACTTTGCTATCATGCAAATAGTCTACCTTTCTCTCTCTCTCTCTCTCTCTCTCCAGGTAATTATGTTAAACAACCTACCTCTCCACAACTCTGACTTTGCTATCATGCAAACAACCTACCTCTGTCCTATCAGGCGCCTCCCTACCAGGCTTCGGCCTTCTAGGTGCCACTTCCCTACCGGCCTACTAGGTGCCTCCTCCTTACGGGCTCCTCCCAGTCAAGTGCCTTCCTACCAGGAGTTTGTCTACTCGATGCCTCTCTATTGGCGTACCAGACACTGCTTTACTAGGCTTCGTCCTACTAGGCGCCACTCTACTAGACTGCGCCCTACCAAGCTCTGTCCTACCAGGCGTCAGCTTACTAGGCGCTGCCCTACTAGGCTCAGTCCTACTTGGTGCCACCTCTGTCCTACTAAACTCCGACCTACCAGGAGTCTCCCTACCAGGCGCTGCCCTATTTGCTCTTTAGCACTTTGGGTGCCTCCTGCTCAAGGCCTTGGGCGCCTTCTACTTAGTGCTTTAGGCGCCGCTCAGTTCTCACTCTCTCCTAATGATGACGTCCCAACTCTCACTCTCTCTTGATGATGACGTCTTCCTAACCTACCTTAGTTCTAGCCTCGCCTAGCATGCCTACGGAGTTGTCCAGCCATGAAGCTAACAAAAAAAAAAAATTTCTTAGAGTACAGAAGAAGGGAGAAGCTCAGGAAGCTAACACCATGGAGAACAAGAAACTAAGAGCTCACTCATGCTCTCAACCCACCTTTTCTCACCAACATTCGGAGGCTTGGGGCATAGGGGGCAAATGATGAGCCCAAAATCAACTAGGCTCGGCCCAATAAATCAAGAAGGCCCAAGTCAGCTAAAGGATGGCCCAGACCCACTTTGCAAGTCCCACCCAATCCGACCCAGTTCAGAATCCAAGAAGCCTGGGGAGATAGGAGCACGTGGGAGAGAGAATATCGGGATATGCACTAAAAGAGATCTAATCCTACCATAACTATACTGGCCAAAATGATAGAAGCTCTATCTCTCACATCACTGCTTCACCGCCTTACTAAACTTCTATAATGTAAGCCCTCTCCACTTGGAGGGCATCACCTCATCACCTTGAGGCCACTACAACTTGAGATCACTACACGCACTACACCTTCATATACACATTGCTTCTCTCTCCTAAAGCATTGTAATACTCTTAGAGTTACTATTCCGGTGACATTATTCATCAATAAAGATCTCCAGCCACCGTTGCCATTCCCGAGAGTGGAGTAGGTGACTCAGGCCGAACCACTATAAATCTTGATGTTTGCTCATATTTATGATTTTGCCATTGCTTGCCTATTTACTGCTCATTAATTGTGTCTCTTGATATACTCGACTGTTGATTTTGTGTAATACCGATTTGTGCATCATCAATTTATAATTGATTTCGATGAGTTTTTTTACTTTTAAAGAGGT